GGGGGGGACTTTTTCTTGTTGTGTGGCTTCCCCCTTAAAATCCATACCAGACCTGTATCCACTTTCAATCTCTAAGACTCCTTTGTCTACTCAGAAGTAGTAAGATTAAGGGCATTCTAGTGGTCCTCATATTTTCAAAATGGCCAAGGTAGATGTGGTGTTAAAACCTGATCAAACTTCTGGCAGACATGCCATGGAATCTGCCAGATCGACCTGCTCTCCTATCTCAAGTAACAGTTTACCACCCCGCTTCACAGGGGCTGCTTTAACAGCAGTGCTGTTAAAAAAAGCCCAGCTTCTAAGAGACGGAGGTTTCTCTGATTAGGTAATTTCAGTGCTGTTAAAAGCCAGAATGTCTTCCTCACATAGGGTTTAATACCGCACATGCAAGGCTTTATTCACTTGGTTCATTTGGAGGAAAGATAATGTCATCCTAGGAAATACTCCATGGGAAGAATCATAACCTTTCTGCAATCGGTTCTGGATCAGCCTTTGGCCTCGAGTTCCATGAAGGGGCAAATCTTGGAACTTGTCAAAGATCGCTAGCCTCCCATTTACTGATGAAGACCTTTTGTACATGGTGTCTCTCATGTGGCCCCTGTACAAATACCTGTGACTCTGTTGGATTTAAATTTGGTTCTATCCGCACTAGAAAGTCCACCCTTTAAGCCCATTAGGGATATTACCCTTGCCACTTACTCACAAGGTTGCGTTACTTGTTGCCATCACCTCTTCAAGGTGCGTGTCTGCCTTGTCCTGTAAGGAAACCTATTTGCTATTACACTAGGACCAGGTGATATTGAGGCCAAGTGCCTACTTCTTTTTTAAGGTGGTTTCAATCTTTTACCTTCCCAGGACATTGTTCTTTTGTCTCTTTGTCCCGCCAGTATATTTAAAGGAAATTTCCCTTCACTGCTTGGATTTAGATTTAGCTGTGTGGACTTGCCTATCAGCCACTGCTTCTATTAGAAAGACTGTCTCTTTTTGTCTTCTCTGTAAAGGGAAACCAGTTTTTAATTTCACCATTTCCTGGTGGCTCAGGCATATATTTTTTAAGTGTACGGTCTTTAGTACAAGGCTCTGACTTTTTGTGTCAAACCCACTGTACTAGACCTGTGTGTGTTTCGTGGACATTTCAGCATCAGACCTCTTTTTACTAGATTTGTAAGGACAACACCTGTGTTACCTTTTGTAATAGAAAGTGGCTGTGTACACCCAACTTCACATATTTTACTGAAAAGTGCCGGCAAAGCCAAGGAATGCCTGTATTTCAATCAGAGTTTTTGTTTTGTTTTTAACTAACCTGTTTGCTAAGCTTCCTATGAATATCTTTCAGCATTTGATAATGTTTTTCAATTGCTTAGTATTATTGTGTTTTAAAAGAGAACTTTGACCCAACCTTTCTCGGCTAGGTTTGAACATTTACCATGGGAGAACATTTACCATGTCCTCCTATGACCCAAAACTCAGCATATAGTGGGCTATTGACCGCTATATGCTGACAGCAGAGCCATGCTGTGGCCGGGAAAGATTCTCTCTAGAGGCAGAGCCAGCTGTGCCCTCCCCGTCTCTCCAGTCACCGCTCTCTGCAGGGAGAAGATCAGGAACTGAGTGATCAGCGGTATGTGATCACTCAATTGTCAACCTATAGAGCCGACCAACGTGTGACAGCTTCAGTGTCACACGTCGGCTCTAATTATGGGGATGAGTGCATTTCATTCTCCCCATAATACTCCTTTTAAGTATTAGTATTTTAACTGATTTTAGTGGCAGTTTTTAGAGATGAAACAATGGCGTGTTCTACTGAACCACCACTTACTGTAAATGCAGTACATGGTGATTAGACATTACAGTGACAGAAATGAATTGATCAATCAGCATGTCTAATACTTGTCTTTTATATATAATACCAGTTGAACTAGGTTACTGTTAATATGCTTATTACATTAGGTATCCGCCCCCTATAACTTTTTAACGAAGTTGAAAACCAGCCAAAGTTTTTTTTTATGTAATTTAATTTTTCATTTTAAAATGTAACATCTAGGTTAAGGCAAAATGCATCCCTGGTGAGTCTAATAACATCGCAGACTCTGTCTTGTTTCCAGATGGAGCATTTAAAGGACCTTCTGCTGGGAGGCAGTTCAGGAGAGCTTAATCTGTCCGGATCATCTTTGTTTAATATATATTTTTTTTATTGTACATCAATTCCATACAGTTTACATATTATTTTGTATAAATATTGAAAAAATATATAGAAGAAAACCCAAAGAAAAAAAAACCACAATCTTATTTCATACATTCTCTCCATCTTACATTAGGTTTCCCATTATCAATCGTTTCTTTCAAAGCTTCCTTTGGGGGAGTAGGAGAGAGACCATCTTTACTCATATATCATTCAACCCCTACCCCCTTGTGATCCTATTCTACATATACTTATTCATTACCTTCAAATCTAGTGTCATGTATAAACCTGAGTTTACCTCCTCTTGTTTAATCCAGTCAACTTCCCCCAGTGTGCCCTCCTTTTTTTTCCCCCTCCTTTTCCCTTCCTTTTTCCTCCCCTCCCTTTTTCTCCCCCTCCTTCCCCACCCCCTCCCTCTTCTCTGTTTCTTCTACTCCTCCTATAGGCATTCATCCCTCCTTACTACTTCACCATTCATACAGGTCATTTTTCCTTCCTTAGTATCTTAAACATCTAACCAAAGGTTTTATTTATGTCCTTAGCCGTAAATTTTCCATATCTCTCAGAGGATCCCTATATAGTTTTCCCATTTTTCCCAGATCTTGTAGAAACTCTCCTTTTTATCTGAGTCTTTTGCGCTTAAGTCCTCCATATATCTTATTTCCTCCATTGTGCTAACCCAATTCTCTAATGTAGGTGGTACCGTTGACTTCCAACCTCGTGAGATGCAGACCCTAGCTGCAACCAATACAAATCTTAGAATTTCACTTTTAATTTTTTTGGGATCCAGGTATTAAATGACAGTAGGACCATAAAAGGATCTTTTTCCACGCTTTGTGCTTCTATGGCATTATATATTCCAAACACAGATTCCCAGAAAGGTTGCAGTCTTGGACAACTCCACCATATATGCAAGTATGTCCCCTCCTCCCGTATACATCTCCAACATCTATCTGTTAAATCTGAGTTTATATGCCTATTACCTTCTGGGCACCTGTACCATCTAGATATCATTTTATCATTATTTTCTTGGTGAAAGGAAGACATAACGGAGCCATGTGTCATATTAAATATTCTTTCCCACTCTTTGTCAGATAGCTCCTTCCTCATGTCTTGCTCCCATCTTTTCATGTACTTAGTGTGTCCCTTATCTTCTTCCGCCCTCAATATGCCATATACTACTGACAGGGTGTGTGTAATAGGTGTTTCTGATATGCACAATTTCTCGAATGTAGTAAATGTCTTAAGAGTTTTGCATGTCCTAAGATGTTTAATATAGTCTAATATCTGAACTGCCTCCATCCATGTCTTCCCATTGGTCTGTCTTTCTGGTCTTAAGTTCCTTTTTAGCTCCTCTCTGCCTGGTTCTAACACTTGCCACACCTGTATATGTAGAGTATTCTCCCTATTTAATAATGTCATTGCTTGCATACCTGGTGGAAATTGTGGGTTACCCAAGATGGGAGTCAAGGGTCCAGGCCTAGATGAGAGATTATATTTGGTTACAGACTTGCCCCATGTTTGTAATACTACTTTTAGCAAGAGAGGCAGTGTAGATACCTGTGGCCTGCATTCCACTGATAGCCAAGGAAGATTCCTCAATGGTACCAGGGAAAGATCGGCTTCCAATTTTACTACCATTTTGTCTTGACCCCTATGAATCCAGTCCAATATTCTGGATATCAAAATTGCTTTATGGTAGAGTGCGAAGTCTGGGATTCCCAAACCTCCTCTCTGTTTTGATCTCATCAGAACTTTTGCACTTATTCTAGGGGTTTTGTTTGCCCAGACAAATTTCATTGCTGCCGATTTTTATTTCCTGGAAAAAAAATTCTGGCAGAAGAATAGGAATTGTCTGGAGTCTATATAATATTTTTGGGAGGATATCCATTTTTAAAACATTTATTCTCCCTAACCAAGACATTCTTAAACTGTTCCATGAATGGAATTGGGCAAAAATATTGTCTATCCAGTCTCTAAAATTAATAACATACAGTGTGTTAAGTTCTTTCGGGATGTTAACCCCCAGATATACAATATATTTAGCCTGTCATATAAATGGGTAATTATTCTTTATATTAGTTATTACTTTGTCAGTTAAGGATATATTTAAGAGTTCAGATTTAGAGAGGTTTATTTGGAAATTCCCCATAGCTCTTCAGTTCTTTAAGAATATTAGGTATCGATATTATTGGAGAAGTTATTAAGAGAAGCAAGTCATCCGCATAAAGTGCCACTTTATGTTGTTGTGTTGGAGTGGGTACACCTGTAAATCGAGGGATTTTTCCTTATAGTTGCCGCTAGTTGTTCCATTACTATAACATATAATAAGGGTGAGAGAGGGCATCCCTGACAGGTGCCATTATTTATTGGGAAAGAGGCAGATAATTCCCCATTAACTATAACCCTTGCATTCGGGTGTGTATATAATGCCATCACTTTGGATAAAAATAAGTCTCCCACTCCCATTCGTGCCAATGATTCTCTGAGAAAACCAGCCAAAGTTTAATCATCATGAGTGTGTCAAAAGAGGAGGCATCTTGAAATTGCAGATCACCTAATGGATGAAGTCAGAAGAAACACTTCCAAATAGCACCGTTTGACTATTTTAAACAAACTGCATGACAGCACTGATTCAGTTAGTATTTAAAAGTTACCTTTTTATAAATATAACTTCACACTTTTTTCTTTTACAGTGCATTTTATTAATTTGACAAAGTAGTGTTTAGTATGAGCATAAAGTAGAAAAACCAAAGTAGAAAAAACAAAGAGCACTGCTGCATTATCGTAAAAAAAAATTATTTGAGTTTTTTAATCCGAGTTGTAGCTGTACCAATACAGTATATTTTTTTACCAGTATAAAAATGTACAGTTCTCCCTGCTATGTCCACAACTATGTGGCTTTTACAACAATCTCATTAAGTTTAGATATCTTGACAGCCCATCCCCAAGGTGGAGTTGCAGGTCCAAGTCTGGGTAATGAGATAACCATTCCTTTCTCTCCAAGTGCTGTCCATTTAAGTTTTCCTTCATATCCTACCATGTACACCTGGAAAAGAACAGCGTGTTTTTGTTAGTTTGCCAGAACAATCCTAGTTTATCAAGGGAAATGAATAAATGACCAAACAATGGCTTGTTTGTCTTACAAATTTATATTCTATGTGATTTTCAAATCACACTAGGACTTTACAATACAAGCATGGTAGTTATGGCCAGTAAGTAGATATCAAACACTGGGCAATGCTACCCATGTAAAATAAAGCCTTTTATTCCCTAAAACACTCAGCTAAACAGCTATAGGCCCCACATATAATTGGGCCTGTTGTATATTAATTGGCAGGTCCATAGCTATCCTCCTTTTGACAAGGCCCAGCCTTCTCCATTCTTCATATGAGCTTGGCGGAGTCCCAGACCTGGCCCATCAATCGTACAGTAGGGAGTGCAGAGTGTCTTTTAGTATACATATCACTATCCAGATAACACAGAGGGTTAAGACCTTTAAACAAATGCAGAAGGAGAGAAGGACTGTGAAGGATGGTCCGTATGCGCCCAAGCCGAAAAATGTTGCAGTTGAGAGGTTATAAAATAAAGCCATGGGTTAGGCAATGCAAGCCCGCCGGAAGCTTTTGGCCTTTGGGCGAGACGTAACCTGGAAGATTTCATCTTCCAGACAAGATCCCTGAAGATACCGCCAACTAGGCGAAAGGGGAGAGTTGTGAATGATATACAATAGTTGGGGTAACCAAATCATTTTAATTAAATTCACCCTTCCCGCCACTGATAGCAGTAATTTGGCCCATGAGGTATGTGGAGATCTAAATTTCGCCAGAAGGGGGTGTAGATTCAGAGTAATGTAGTCAAGGGGAGAGGCAGTTATCTGTATGCCCAAATAGGTAATAGCCGACTGGACCTGCAGATGAGATAACTCGGGCCAAAGGCGTATGCAGGGGGTCCAGAGGAAGCAGGTTGGACTCCTCCCAATTGACAACAAGGCCCGAAAATGTGGCAAAAGTAGATAGAAGGGACATGACATTAGAGAGGGAGGTCTGTGTATCGGCTAGAAATAAGAGGGTGTCATCTGCATACAACACAATCTTTTCTTCCAGAATGCCCCTCTTAAAGCCCGTAACGCCTGAAGACTGCCGAATCAATACCGCCAGGGGCTCAATAGCAAGGGCAAACAGTAATGGGGACAGAGAACAGCCCTGCCTGGTGCCTCGTTGCAACTTGAAGGCAGCAGACAGGGAATCGTTGATTTTTATTCTAGCAGAGGGGTGGTGGTATAACAAACGAACCCAGCTGCAAAACTTGGGACCGCAGCCAAAAGGCAGTCAGGACCGCCTAAAGATATCGCCATTCCACGCTGTCAAACGCTTTTGCGATATCCAAGGCAAGAAGTGCTCTGTTACCTGTGTTATCAATCGGGAGCTGCATGTTCAAAAACACTCTGCATATATTTATAGCTTACAATCTAAAATGGAGGGGGAAGTGATACATGAGGAGGTAGCTGTGTGGGGATGAATTGTTTGAGAATGTGATGGTTGAGTGGTTAGGTTAAGGTGGGATAGGCTTCCCTGAAGAGATGAGTCCTAAGGTATTACCTGAAGGCAGTTAGAGTGGGAGATAGACGGACAGGTTGGGGTAAAGCGTTCCAGAGCATGGGAGCCTCTAGTGAAGTTCTGGAGGCGAGCATGGGAGGAGTTGACGAGGGCCCTGGAAAGCAGAAGGTCTTTTGAAGAGCAGAGGGGACGGTTAGGGTGATACTTTGAGACAAACTTTGAGATATAGCCGGGGGCAGCATTGTAGATGGCTTTGTAAGTCATTGTTAATATTTTGAATTTTATCCTTTGGGCTATTGAAAGCCAGTGTAGGGATTGGCAGAGGGGGGTTGCAGACAATGAGCAGTTGGTTAGGTGAATGAGTCTAGCAGCAGCATTCATGATAGACTGAAGGGGCATAGCCTGTGTAGAGGTAGGCCAATGAGGAGGGAGTTGCAATAGTCAAGACAAGAGATGATAAGTGAGTGGATGAGTAGTTTTGTGGTTTCATTGGTGAGGATGAGGGTGTATTTTGGAGATGTTACGAAGGTGAAGGCGGCAGGATTTGGATAGTGATTGGATGTGGGGGAGAAAGGTGAGGTCTGAGTCAAGGATGACACCTAGCACCTTGGCATAGGGGAGGGTTGTTATCAATCTCAAGGGAAAAGTTGGGGGAAGGTGCATGGGGGGGAGGAAATATCATGAACTCAGGTTTTGAAAGGTTGAGTTTTAAGAAGTGTTGTGACATCCAGACAGATATGTCAGTTAGTAGATTGGTGAAATGCAAGGACACTGAGCGGGTGAGTGGAGGGGTAGAAAGATATAAAGTATTTGAGTGTCATCGGCATAGAGATGGTATTGGAAGCCATGTGAGGTTATGAACTGACCAAGGGAAGAGGTGTAGATAGAGAAGAGAAGGGTTCCAAGGACAGAGCCCAGGGAGACCCCTAGAGCAGTGGTGGCGAACCTATGGCACGCGTGCCAGAGAGGGCACGCGGGGCCCTCTTGGCTGGCACGCGAGCCCAGGTTCGGGCCACCTCTAAGAAAAAGTCGGACCCTCCCGGATCGCCGCCACGGTATGCGATCCGGGACGGTCGCAATCAGGCAGAGGGAGCCTGCTAACAGGCATATTAAACAGCCACTTGTTCCTTGCTAGGACCCAGTGAGGCCCCAGCGAGCGGCTGTCTAATTTGCCTGTTAGGAGGCTGCCGCTGCCTGAGCATGACCAGCCGAGGCGGCGATTCGGGACAGTCTGACATCTTATTTACAGAGCCACAGCTGCCCTCCCCCGAGAGCGGCACAGTTCGCTTAAGAACCGCACAACTCCCCCTCTCCTAAGAGCCACACAGCCCCAGTTTCCGCCACAGTCGTTCAAGAGCGCGGCTATGTGTTTTTAGATGTCTGGTTTCTTTTGTTTGCCACGGTTGTAGTGGACGTGGTCTAAGTCTGTGTATACTAAGGGGAGCCAAAGTGTCCAGAGAGTATGAGAGTGTAATAGACCATGAACTGTACAGAAAAGGTCTATCTAATGCCATTGAGACATGGGAAGTCAAGATGCAAAGAACCGAGGAGGAAAATTAAACTATTTTATAACCAGTGGAAATCACCTGTCAGACCCAAGCAATTGAAATTTGAGCTTCCAAAGTTTCCGCAAATTCCATCAGAAGTCCCCCCACCTGAGATTAAAAAGGTGGTGGCGCACCTTCATGTCAATGTGGCTTTTCTGAAGTTTTTGGATGCCAAGGACATCTAGAGGGTCCAAAAGACTTGGAATTGTCAGATGTCTTTTGAGATTGGGAGCAGAAACCTTGTTTGGAAGAACAAAAAGACAGAGAAGGAGCAGGTTTATGGTGCTGATCCTTATTATTCCGCATCTGAGGTAAAGTGTTAATTTTTACCTCCCTTAACCTGCTTGATAATCTAATACAGCAAATCTCCAAAATTATTATCTACAAATGGTAAACGCAAAAGTCCCTTTTTACATTGGGGTTCCACCGGCTATCACTTAACCCTTTGGCTGCCAAGCCCTCTGGAAAGCTTTACACCTCAGCTGGCCAAACCATTTTTGCAATTTTTCCCATTGTTATGACATTCTACTGCTGCGTTGCTAGCGTTTGTTAAAGACCCCCCAAACCATATATTTTCTGAAAGCACATAAGAATAAAAAGATAGTGCTACTAAATTTGTAGGCCCTGCGATAATTGCGCAAATGTTTATCAAATCAATATTAAACCGATAAAAATACACAATTCAATTGATAAATCAATATCAGTGCACAAAAAATACTTTTCCGACAATCTAAAAGAGAAAACTGTATTAAGTTAATAACAAATATTTGTAATGTTTACATTGCGCCTTTTGCAAAACGTTAAAAAAAAATTAAGGAACGCAAAACTGTACATAAGTGACGTTTGTTACAAATTGTTTGTGCACTGTGTTGGTGTTTGTGTTGTGATAAAATGATACAGCCATATATTTAATTGCAACACAGCATATCACAACACACAGCAATGGGTCACCATTTTTGCTTTCCAATGTTAAATGAATGGTATTTTAAAAAGAAAAAAAAAAATCAAGCACTGTGATGCGTTCTAATAACGCAGCGCATGGCTAGACCACAATATGGTGCACTTTTATATTGTGTGTGTTGGGGGGGTTTGTGTTTTATTTATTTTACTTTTGGGGGGGCTTCAAGGTAATATCTGGGGTCTAAACAAACCCCTGACATTTCATTTTTGAAATAGAAGAAATTGAGGACACAGAGTCCTCAATCTCTTTTTCTGCAGCCTCAGCACTCTGTTAATGGAAAGCACTCAGTACAGAGGCTTCCCATTCCTAACTGGTGATAGTAAAATCTTTCATCAAGCTTATGAATGGGTAGAATCCTCTATACTGAGGCTTCCACCCATTGAGAAACTCATGAATGAACAGGAAGTAATGTAAAGCCCTTCCTGTTCATTCATAACTGGGGGCACATATTACTACGTGTCCCCAGTTGTTTACAAACATTGGAGTGATCAGATGTTCACTCCAGTGTTTGCGCTGCACAGAGGATCAGTAAATATTACACATCTTTACCGATCCTCCTACTCATCCATCTGACCCGCTCGACCACGCACAGATGTCAGAGCCACCTGCGATCCAGGATTTGACTGCCGGCGGCTCTGATCTCCTCACCGCTCAGCCATCCTGTACTTTGGGCTCCCTCCTCCACCCACCGGCCATTTCTCCTCGGATCCCCGCTGCCTCAGCCAATACAGACAGGGGAGAGCAGTGGGGATCGGAGGAGAAACATACCAGCCTGGAGTGGCTTCAGGCAGGAAGGAGAGGCTGCAGATGCCGGCTCGTCAGCAGTTGATGACAGCTAATAATTTAAAGGGGACTGTTGAGGGGAACCGTTCTGATATAACCTCATGGTCGCTAAAGCTTATGAATGCCACCAACGTATGGCATACTGATGTGGCCAGCTGGAGACAGTTGTTTTCTGCTGTATGCCATATGTCGGTGGCAGGGTTAAACCAGATAGCTCTGCGAATTTGAATGGAAGATACAGATACTCAAGATAACAGATGACGAGCAAAATGAAACGCATCACACATGAAGTGATAAGCGACAGTTATCTGATAAATGCAATCAATAAAATGTAGATCAACTCCAGCAGTCGCCTGATCAGCATTAAGAAAGCCTGTCCAAGTGGCTAAAGTCTGAGAAATTCGCTAATAATGGTTGAAGAGCAGAACCAGTTAACAAATTTTTTGTCAGCAGAATCCTTAAATGGAGGAGCATCATCAAAAGGAATAGCCAACACCTTGCTAAGATGAGAGATTGGAGGATCAACTTCAGGGAGAGTAGCCCATTTTTAATAAAATCTTCCAGAAAAGGATACGGGGACTTAAATAGTCTATGAACCAGAAACTGTTTATCCAGATTTTTTGAAGAAACCAATCAAATATAGGATGAAGAGAAAAACCTTGAAGACATGCTCAGGTTTATGCATATCCAGACTGGAAACAGTAACAGGAGAAACAACAGCATAATTCTCTAAATTGAAAGAAGAAAGCAGTACAGCCTCAATTAAAAAGGAAATCGTTTCTGATGCTGAGAAATTGCAGATGACTGAAAATCAGCCTGAGCAAGCCCGACCCCATCAGAAGATATTAATTCACCTTCTGACAGTTCCAGAAAAGTCAGGCATTTCATCCTCAGAATGCACAGGCGAAGGAGAAATGCAACGCTTTTTACCCCTACAGAAGTCTGTCTAAACAAAATCAAAAAATCTCCATGGTAGAAAAAAAATGCAGATTTTGTTAGAAAAATTACTCAACAAGGCAGGAAATGCAGTATTACAAACTGACACTGTGTTTGCAGTTTTTATCCTGAATACCATTACAAGCAATTAACAATTAATATATAAACATAAATAGGCAAATACAAAAGATTCTTCAGTAGTCAGGCCGCGCTCACCTCTCCACTTAAAAGCAGACGTATCTGCAACACATAAAAAGTGCAATCACCACAGATTTCCACAATACTACTCATGGCCCCATCAGTGTGGAAGTGGGTGGGACATTTGACCAGCAAGTGAACATTTTGTCCCTGAAGTTTGTGTTGGAAGCAGAAAAAAATGGGCAAGTGTAGGAGTTTGGGCGACTTTGACAAGAGTCTAATTATTATGGCGAGATGATTCGGTCAGAGCAACTCAAAAACTGTACCTCTTGTGGGATGTTCCCGGTCTGCAGTGGGTACGACCCACCAAAAGTGGTCCAAGGAAAGAAAACCGGTGAACCAGTGACAGGGTCATGGGCAACCAAGGCTCACTGATGCACATGGGGAGCAAAGACTGGACCTTGTAGCAAGATCCGATAGAAGAGCTACTGTAGCTCAAAGTGTTGAAAAAAAGTTATTGCTGGTTTTGATAGAAAGGTGTCTGAACACACAGTGCATCGCAGTTTGTTGCATATAGGGCTAGTCAGGGTGGCTATGCCGACACGTGTCTAATGTCAAAAGCACCTTCAATGTGCACGTGAGCATCAGAACTGGACCTTGCTGCAATGGAAGAAGGTGACCTGGTCTGATTGATCATGTTTTCGTTAACATCATGTGGATGGCTGGGTGTATATGTGTCACTTACCTTGCGAAGAGATGGCTCCAGGATGCACTATGGGAACAAAGCAAGGCAGCGGAGGCAGTGTGATGCTTTGGGCAATGTTCTGCCATTCATGTGGATATTACCTGGTCATGTACCCCCTACCTAAACATTGTTGCTGACCAGGTGCACACCTTCATGGAAACTGTGTTCCCTGATGGCAGTGGCCTCTTTCAGCACAATAATGCACCCTGCCACACTGCAAAAATGGTTCAAGAAAGGTTTGAGGAACACAGCAATGAGTTTGAGGTATTGACTTGGCCTCCAAATTCTCCAGATCTCAATCCAATTGCGCTTCTGTGGGATGTGCTGGAAAAACAAGTCCAATCCATGGAGGCCCCACCTCACAATTTCCAGGACTTAAAGGATCTGCTACAGACAGCATATCATCAGAGGTCTAGTGGGAGTACATTCTTCAGCGGGTCAGGGCTGTTTTGACAGCAAAAAGGGGGAATGACTCAATATTAGGTGGGTGGTCATAAAGTTATGGCGGATTAGTGTGAATCAACTACGATTCTATCTTCTAAGACAAAACATGAAAACTTCCAAGGGGGTGAATACTTTTTATAGACACTGTAGCTAATGTTTTCAAATAACAAAAAAATAGAATGTGTAAGAGCCACATATACATTTGTGTAAACAAGCCACTAACCTCTGTCAGTTCCGAAGTCTTGGGTTCTCCTAGTACAATATTGCAGTTGGTGGGCCATTTCAAGAATACAGCAAACACAGCTTGTTCTTTGGGTTTGCATGTATACCTGTTGGTTACAATTTGTTTTAATCCCGTGTATCAGCAGTGCCGTCCGTCCGTTTTTCTACTACGGGCGGACGGCAAGAGGTTAACGTAGCTACTATTTTGATCAGTGGTCCGCAACTTTTTTGAGAAAGAAACCTCATAGTTTGTATACTAGAATTTTATTTTTATTTTTTTATGCGTTCACTAAAACTACTCCCGGAGTTCATTCTCCATGTCTGGAAGCACTGACTCTCCTGGTAAGCGAGGGATTCTGCACTGTTAAAGGGTAACAAAATCTGGCTAATTAATGATATCTTAACAGGATTTTAGACAGTTTTTCTAGTAGGGAAGCTGCTGAGAGAGTCTGCAATCCTGGATGTGGGAGTATGGGCTCTGGTGATACCCTTTAAAAACTGCTGAAGTGGTCTTAATAAATGAATGGCAGCCTCTGAGTAATTCACTTGTACACTTTGAGACATTCCCAGGAGTTGCCTAGATGTTAACCACTGATCTAGGTTATCTCTTTATCTAGCTGTCAAGAATGCAGTATACAAGCGTGTGGTAGAGTTTGGAAATGGGAACTTTTGCTGGGTGAGCTAAGCAGGGGCCCATTTTACACACGTCTTTCCAGCTTAAAATATTATTAGTTAAAACATAAGCTTTAATCTGTTTCAATAAACACTCTTGTTATAAGTTGTGAAGTGTTCTCCAAATCAGGATAAATGTCCTTTGGGTTAAGTTTTTGTTTTTTTTCAGCAATAATTTGTTAACTATGCAATACTCCTTCCATCTTCACACTTCAACACCTAAAAATGTCAGATAATGATAATTGAAATATAGCAAACATGCATTAATAAAAACAACACACTTCAACATACTAACTTCACCCAAATCAAATTACACTACTTCTCAACACAATAACTTCACCCTAATCAAATTACACTCCTTTCATGTTGCGCAATGGACTTTTGAATGCATAAAGAGGTCATCAGAACCTATGGTAGCAGTAAAGCTTTGGGGTACTTTACTTACAGTGAACTGGGTTTGAATATTTCGTTAGGATACAAACTGCTACTACCCCTCTGTAGCGGCAGAAAGGTTATTGTGGGTGAGATGAGAGACAAAAGCACAAACCATAATAACTGGGTTGTTGACAATGCAATGGACCTTATTTACCAGGTATCTGTCTTAGAACGTGAAACTTTAGTACATTACCCCCTACCACCTGAAATAAAGATATATGAACATGTACAGCATTTTATAAATGGCTATATTTCTCATGCAGCAGTAGCCCAAACCACTGCTGCATTTTCACTACAATGTGGAGGAAATAAAACAGAAGCAGTAACATACAAATGGGAATTATCGCAGTTGCTGTTCATGCATCTCTATTTTCAAAACAACCAAATAGCCTCTTATTTCTAATTTCTAGCCTGTGCTTGGAAAATAAAACTAAGGATTAATTTGACTAGTTTGAACAATTGCTATTTCAGAAACGATCCTACAAAAGGACCTATAAAAGTTCCATACAAACGGTAAAAAAATCTAAAGTGTGCATGTGAATAATTTTACAGTGCTTAAAAAGGAGAACTATGAGGTGAGTGCTTTTCACTCACCTCATAGTTCCAGCCGACCTGTGACAATGAGACTGTCACAGGTCGGCTCAGTAGATCAGGAGGTGAGCGAACACATACCGGCGTTCGCTCACCTCTCGATCCTGTCACGGCTCTCTGCCGCTCCGATCCGCCAGCACTGACTGGCGGAACGGACGGGGGAGGGGGCGGGTACAGCTGGCTCTGCCTCTAGATAGGCAGAGCCAGCTGTCAGTCACGCAGCTGGGCGGATCCCAGCACAATTGTCGGGATCCGCTCCAGCTGCGGAGTCTCAGTATACCACGAGCTACAGCTCGCTGTATACTGAGCTTAGGGTAACGGGAGGACGCTAGTTTGTGTCCTCCCGTTACCCTAAGGAGAAATATGGGGAAAAGACTTAACCCCATAGTTCTCCTTTAAAGCCCGGTATTATAGATTTGTCTGTGTATACTATGGGATCCTAGCATTAGGCAGTAAAAAAGCATTTATTCACATCAAATACACATAACATTTTACAGAGTCTGAATAAGAAGGTAGTTTATTTTCCATATTATAGCTGTGCCCTAGGAGTCACGTAGTAAAAGATATAGTTTTGGTGTTACTGTTGCTTACATGGAATGTATAGTGGTTTTGTACATACTTTTAGTTTTTATAGTCCAGACTAAAAAAATTAAATGTGAAGCAATCTTTTTTTCTTTTTGTGAGGTAAATATGAAATATTGCACATTAGTATTTTGCATGTTTTGAGCCAGCAGGTGGAGCGTGAGGCTGCTTTTCATGCAAACTTTTAGTTTACTTCCTTGATGAAAAAGCCTGTTTACAGAACTTATTAATGCAACCTGAATTCATTAGAATGGCACCCCAACACACAACTACAGTAAGTGCCAACGGGCCTGAAGCACAGAGCACTACAATGCACAATCCATGTGTTGCAATGCTTTGTGTTAAAAAAAAAGAATGAATGGGCTGCAATAAAATATAACACAGATGTGCTAATGCACTGCAATGGGATACAAATGAGTGATCAGAGCCTTACCATTCCTTGTTGTTACCAGCTCTGTAAGGCATGTGTCTGAGCTAGCAGCTTTGTCCTGTAAAGAACCCTGGTCTCACATAAGTACTAGGTAGGGTTGAGGCCTAGACCCTCCTTCCCATCTAAGGTGCTTTTGGCCTTTCACCTAAACCAGGACAATGTTGTTACATCTCTCTGTCCAGCTCCAGTTTACCAGCAGGAAATCTCTCCATTGCCTAGATGTAGATTGTGCTGTGCAGGTTTACCTCTTAACCAAAGCTCCCATTAAGAAGTCTTATTGCCATTCCCGATGGTCGCCATACAGAGAAACCAGCTTGTCGCGCCACTATTTCTAGGTGTCTCATACCGGTCATCTTACAAGCTTATGGTCTTAAGGAAAAGGAACCACCTTTTGTGAAAGCACACTTTCACAAAAGCACACTCTACAAAGTGGATTTTTATGGCAAGTCAAAAATCCTATTATCCTATGTATTAAAGTGTACTGAAGTCAAACTTTTTTTTTTCTGATTTGGATAGAGTGGAGATGGATTAGAATATGTGTCAAGTTTTAACTGCTGTTTGTGTAGGAGATTTGCCCTCTCCGTTTGTCCTGGTGGCTGGTATCGCTAAAAGTGAAAGAAAGTCCCAAATTGTTACCAGAACAGGAACAGAGGAGAAATCTTCCAATGGGGACACCTACTGCTGCGATCTGGTGACCCTGCTGCCCACCAAGGATTTTGCTCAATTTAGAGAGATTTTCTCTTACCTTCTGTTGTGGCTATCAGACAGGAAGTGAAAGGAAATTCCCCCAATAGGACAGTAATGGCAAAAAAAGCTGGCAGGGGTTATAACCCTCCATTCCTCTGTCCAAACTTATAACAAAAGTTTGGGCTTCAGTTCTAATTTAAAGTATGCTGTATAATGCAGAACTCAATAAACTAAAAAAAAAAAGGAAGGAATGTAGAAAACCTAAACCTGGTATATTTTACATGTTGTGTGAATACAATTTTATCCAGTGCGCTGGTCAGTTTTTTAGCTAAAGGAAAAAAAGAGGATCAGTTTGGGAAAAAAAAAAAGCAGGAGGATATGCACTACTGTTTTCACTGTACAAATATAAAAGCAAGTACACCCTATGCAATTGTTTACTACTTCAACATATTTGAACCAGCAAACCTTAAATGTTCATTCAAACATTGCCTACAGATAAAAGTGGTATGCTTGAACAAATTGCAGGTAAAATTTACATGATGTATTCATGCTCGTCATTTAAATGAACAATGCAGATTTGTCACCTTGAAGTACAACCCTACAATTACCACTATTTCATAGCCTTGAAAATTAGAATCAGGTGTTCCAGATTTGGTGCCAGGGATTAGAACCTCCTTAAGGTGCCCATACACCTTGCGATTATCGTACGATAATCGCTGGAAATCCCACGATTGTACGATAATCGCAAGGTGTATTGGAGGCGTGCGACCGTTTCTACTGTACGGTCGCACGTCTTTTGTCGAAGAAGCATGCTAGAAAACCCGCCGAGAATCGTATGATTCTCGGCGCGTTAGTGGTGTGTGCACGCGGCCCGTTCAGCATTGCGGTCAGCGGGGCGGGCTTTCAATAATCGCAAGTACGATCTGCCTGTCCGAGATGGGCAGATCGTACGAGCTTTTAATTAGCTTACAACCATCGCAAGACAAAAGTTTTGCGATGGTTGTAAGGTGTATGGGCACCTTTAGGAAGTATGCAGTTGAAACCTCGGCAGAAACCTCGGCACCTCGGCAAGGAAACCCACAAACATTGTGCAACTGAATGAATTTTGCATGGAGGAGTCATCAAAAACTGGTGGGCAGTTGTTCAAAATGCTTCTAATGAGTAATTTCTGCTGAAGGGGGCAATACCAGCTTCTGAGGCCAAGGATGTACTACCTTTATCACATTACACCATTGCACCTATAGATATTTTGTTAAATAAATGATTAAAAAGGCAATTTTTCCTTGAGCTTTTTATTCAAGTATATCATATTTATCTGTAGGCACTGTTTGAATGAAAATCCAATGTTTGCCTGTTCAAATACGGCGAGTCAACAGTTTCATGGGATATACTTCCTTTTTCACATAACAGATTTGTTCTACAGATCTATTTTGTATTCTCATTCTCACCAGACTGCTGGAGTCACTGAATCATTTTGTGCTCTCCAAGGCTTTGTGCTGTAAATAGATTCTCCATTTACTTCAAGCCATTTACCCATCTGACTCAAGCGCTCCTCGAATACTACAGGGATTCGACCATCATGTGTAGGACCAATGTTCATCAGCAGATTCCCACCACATGATACAGTTTCAACTAACTCCTAGAAAGTGAGAAAAACAGTTATTAAACGCCAGTATAGTGTACTACAGTGCCACATGGATGGCAACACAAAAAACTATATTAGGAAATACAGCGTTTCAAATCTGAAGCTGAAAAATATATTAACAAAACTGTTGGGTTCAGTTGCCAGAAGGGACACTATCTACCTGTTGGTTTTCCCTCTTTTACATAGGTTTCTTATTCTGGCTCCAGGTTAACTCCTCATTACAAGTAGGTTAGGTGGCTATACCACATACACCAAGAGTATATGTGTGTGCTTTATTACTGTGTTGGACATATTAGATTGCAAGCTCCTCTGGCTCAGTGAGTTTGAACGCCTCTATTGCTATTGCAGTAGAAAACACTGAATGTTCAAATGTGGCTTTAAAGTAAAGTTAATCTAGAGCCCAAACTTAGTTTTGGGTGGAGCAGGGAATGTTTTGTCAGTTGTTGTTATATTTTTTTTTTCCTGCTGTGTTCTGGTGGTGAGGTTTCCCTTCACTTTGTGTCTTGGAGACACAACAGAAAGTAAAACAGAATCTCCTTCTGACAGCTTTCACCAGGACAGGTGTAACTATTGAACGATTGCCCCTCACTTCCTGTTCTGGTGACATCCAAAAATGAGTGAATGACATAGCATGGGTTCTAACCCTTCTCTAATACTTTCTAAAATTTACTGTGGCGTTGTTTAGTTGCTGAAAAGTCACTGCTATAGGTGTGAACGAGCACCTACAGTTCGTTTATGTAACAAAGATTAACCTATGTTAACAAATTTCTAACACATGCAGTATTTTCCTTACTGTATGCTGTCATGCTTTAACTTGGCTATAGTATCGATATTTAAAAGGAGAACTATGAGGTGAGGGAAAATCACTCAGCCTCATAGTTCGAGCCAACGTGTGACAATGAAACTGTCACACGTCGGCTCAATAGATTAGGAAGTGAGAGAACACATACTGCCGCTCGCTCACTTATCGATCATGTCCCTGCAAAGAGCAGTGACTGTCAGTCACGGCTCCCTGCAGGGATTACCCCGCTCCTCCAGCGCTGACTGGCGGAACGGACGGGGGAGGGGGCAGGTACAGCTGGTTCTGCCTCTAGATAGGCAGAGCCAGTTGTCACTCACGCAGCTGGGTGGATCTCGACAGTAATGTCGGGATCCGTCCCAGCTGCGGCGTTCTCAGTATACATCGAGCCGTAGCTCGCGATATACTGAGCTTTGTGTCACGGGAAGACGCTAGTATATGTCCTCCCGTGACCCCTAAGAGGACTATGGGGAAAAACACTTACCTCATAGTTCTCTTTTAAGTGTTTTTTTGTAGGAAAATATATCTTCTTTGGCTCCCAAAAATATTGCTAGCTTCCATAACACATCCATTGAGTGAAGCAGAAAAGAAGTCATTTGAATTGGTGATACATAACAGCTGAGGAGAAGTAAAGGCTTTCAATCTTTAAATGTTTCTTTAGTGAAGAACTACCAAAATAATACCAATAAGAAAATATCAATTAAAAACAAATGTGCTAACATCATTTTTGTAATCTGACCCCACAGATATTTGTGACAACCCACCTGTACCAGCTCTTCAATAGTCAGCATTTCAGAAATTAAAGCATTCCTCCTATATCCCCAGGATCGTTTGTCAATGGTCATGCAGTTCTCCCATTTGTGAGGTAGCAGATGCCCAGGACTGTAACGGTCACTACATGTGTAAAAGCCGCCATGTTTACAAATGCAGTCTTGTCCCCATCGGTCATTAGTTACAACGATGTCTCCAACTGGGCTGCATTATTTAAATAAAATAAATATGGTTAAGAAATGTTCTGCAGTCACAACATAGAATAATCAGCCACAGTGAACATGATATTGTGTATTGCAGCCTACACACTCTCCAATATTCAGTGACTGATGTGATTATTCTGGATGCCTGGAGTTGTTCTTTCAAAAGAATGTTACTTTGCCCAATCAGGGCAAAGTGACAGGTACTATTGAAGGCTCGTTTCCCCTGCCCACTGCTACTTGCCTACTCTGTGCTTACGGTATGCAGGAAGCAAATGATCTTCTCCCCATTATCCCAAGCTCCAGTGCTCAGGCCTGAACAGCCAATCACCAAGACCTCTACACAGAGGCTGGTAATAATGTAATTTTATCAAGACAGACTCACCAGAAAACTCACTGCTATGTAGTAAATGCTAGCAAGGTGTGCCATGAGAAAAAAAAATTGAACTATTTTTTTTTCTATTGGCTAAAAATAAATGATTTTGGACAATGGGGAAAGGTGGGACAAAGGAAGGAAAAGTGGGAGTACAGTGTGTAAAGTGGATTTTTCCCACAGAGTTTACCATCTAGTAAATGCCAGAGAGCTATGACATGAGAAGGTCCAGTAAAGAGCCTCTATGCATAGGTACTGATAGATGTGATAGCAAGAGAAATGTAGATGTAAACCCAATCATATGAGCGTTACCTTATAAATATAATTTCAAAAGTAATTTGCCGTATGTTAAACAGTATATCTGCAGCTGCCATTAACAATACCTTTTATGATACTTCCTCTTCCTGTCTCCCAATTGTGCTCCTACATTGTCACCCTGTCACACAGGCTCTTTGAACTCACATAACAATAATGCACTATATGTTTTAAATAATAGTCATCATACCTTTCATTATAGAGCCAAGCCAAAAATCCAGTACTGTTCCAGTATGTGTCTGGGGCATTACCATCTCCATCTGACCACAGGATTTCCGGCTTGTATTTCATCACAATTTCATACAGTTCAGGCAAGGACTTAGTGTTTGGAAAAGTGCGTGTCTTAAAAGAATTGTCTTTATCAGAAATGAAGAGGGGGTTGAACCATTCAAATAGAGAGTGATAGAGTCCAAAATGTAAGTCTGTGGCATTCCTGATGGCCTCGGCCAGTTCCCCAACAAGATCCCGCTTTGATCCTACATCCACAGAATTCCAATTCCATGAATACTTAGAGCCCCATAAAGTGTAACCTAAGAGGATATAAATGCTTGTAAATGACTATTACCAAAGCCAGCATTATCACTGGGTAAAATGAAATCATTTTACATGTGTATGATATGAATCAATGTAGAATTGCTTTTGTCTTCCCTCTTGGGGTTTGGAATGTCTTGGGGTTTGGAATGTCTTGGGGTATGGAATGTCTACATCTGATATGCACATTGTTATGGATTACCAAATCTTTATGGTGAGAGTGCAGTGTCTTTATGCAATTCAGGCACATTTTACATATGCTACAATACATCCCTATGGTGGTTATTTTGCCATAATTGCAACAAGCACAATTTTTTTTTACACATTACAATGTACCAAAATGGAGAGGCACCTTTATAGATCTGGTCTCATATCTTGCAGCAGGGAATCTGGGCATGGATCACCGGAATATTTCGGAAAGGATGTCACCATTGTGACATCTGTATTTGTCCAGTTTTTTTTCCTTCATCTTGCAATGGAGGAGAAATTGATTTTACTGGACCCATGTTAGGACTAAGGTGAGTCAGAAGTAAGTGGAAAATTTTACTGGACCCATGTTAGGACTATAGGGAGTCAGAAGTAAGTGGAAATGTGTCCGTTTACATCAAATTACCCCAACTCTGTTCCATTTGGTTTTCCGGATCTGGCCGGAGTCGGGGGTAATTAGATGTACCTGGACACATGTCCATTTAGATCTGGCTGCCTATAGACTAACAATGGACTATAAAATCAGATGAATGAACATTGGAGATAAAACGCTACAGATGGAGGATTGTCTATCGTTGATAACATCATAATAAGTGGAGCAAGAATACCATTTTTTTTTCCTTAGCTGCATTGCGTTTCCGTTCCGTTTTGTCCGCGTTCATGCGTTTCCGGACCGGACAAAATGTGCAGTGCAGTATTTTTTCTGTCGTAAGCTGAACGGACTGCGCACGTCAGAACTGTAGCCCATAAAACACATAGGGATACATTGGGATGCATTTTGAGTGCAGCAGCGTACGGATCCGGGCAGCACACAAAAAGGACGTCGTGTGAACAGGCCCTGAAGGAGGAAGGACCTGGAGAGCTTTTTCCTTAAATGCTGTGAAGGCTGTTTCTGGCAGCCAGAGATTGTGGTGAGTGTGCAATCACTGGGGGGGTGTGTTGGAATACACGAAGAGCACACACTATATATTTTTGGGATATTTTGACACCGGTATTTTCTTCACTTGTATTGGATCTAGATGAATTTTTTCTTCCTATTTCTTCACGGATTTTTTCACGTTTAAAGATTGGACTTTTTGCTCAATGAACTGTCATCTAATCACCTTTATTAGTTACTAGGGATGTCCCAATACCACTTTTTCAAGACCAAGTACTTCCCCTCATGTACTTGCCGATACCAATTACCGATACTTTTTCTTAAAGGGACAGGTGACTTTAAAATGATCCATAGTACAACTACATGTTATGTACTATGGATCATGATTTAACCTATTCATGTTAGCAGGGCTGAATTGTAAATCTATTGCTGTAATGTAGTGGAGGTGTGTGCTGTATACATGTACTACATATACAGTACACACATCCAGTACACTATAGCAATAGATTTACAGCCAGCCCCGTCCAAGCTTCCCTCACTCACAGTTTCACTCCGATCCCTGTTGCCTCACGTGGTGCCTCTCGTAGTTGGCGCTGGGCAGGATCGCTGCATCGCGTCTCGGTGCTCATCTTGTGGGAGGCGCTCACAATTCTTCACTGCTAACATGAATAGGTTAAATCATGATCTATAGTACATATACAGCACACATGTCCAGTACACTGCAGAAATAGAGTTACAATTATCCCCTGCTAACATGAATAGGTTAAATCATGATCCATAGTACATAACATGTAGTTGTACTACGGATCATTTAACCCATTCATGTTAGCAAGTGATCATTATAAATCTATTGCTGCAGCCCTTTTTGCTATGATTAAATCAGCCCATATGGCTTCTCCGCCAGACTGGTGTCTATCAGGAGGAGAGGAATTATATATTGTTATTAACACTATTAATAATAATAATAATAATAATAGGTTTGCAAATTTTAAACCCAACTCAACTCAGATTGGCAAGCTGCTGGCACAATGAATTACTTGTTCCTCACTAATTGCCAATATAATTCTGCTTTCTAAAATACAGATTATTATAATTTCTCATTTATACAAACATTTTTGAAACGGTTCTTATAATACTTCTTCAATATTTTACCTAGCTCTATGGAGACGTAAAAGCCGGCTGGCTACCTCTGGCATTCTGACAAATAATGATATCTTGCAATGTCACATTAATGAGAATTTTACAAAAGCGAGACCGCACTGTACTTTGTCAACAAAATAGGAATAGAATAACAGACGATGATACGCTGTAATAACAGGCTTACCGTTGCCTGTTCAATGGAGGTTCCTTACGAGATGCCGAATTCTTTTCCTCACACGTTGTCGGCATCACTGCTGTGGGTGGCGCTCCAGGTGGGGTCCTCTGGGCAGTCGCCGGCCACCTACATTAGGACCCCACCTGGAGTAGCGCCCACAGCAGTGACGCGACGCTCCTCCGCTCAGTGCCGACGACGTCCTCAGATGTGAGGAAAAGCATTCGGCACCTCGTGAGGCACATGACTGAATGTACAGAAAAAAAAAAAAAAAACAGCACAAGCATCGGCGCTATGCATTGGGGCATTTTGACAAGTACAAGTACTTGTCAAAATGCCCTGTATCGGTTCCGATACCAATGCTAGCATAGGTATCGGGACATCCCTATTAGTTACACAATTATATTTATAATTATTACTCATTTATTCACATGTTATATATTTTTTTGCACTTTATTAGGAGGGTGTGTAGCGATTATACTATTGTTTTAAGTATAAATCAGATCGGCCTGAAAAACTGACAGGCGAACCTGATCGGACCGCCTGTCTTAGAGGGCTCTGAATTAAATAGCCCAAGTTTAGAGATATGCAGTATGCTGTCAGGTGTAATTGCCTTGCATTTAAAATCAGTTTGAGATGCTTCTAAGTTCATATACAGGTGGGTCTGACCTGCACATTTCCCCTTCTTAAGCTGCAGTAACCTGCTTTTGTATATCTTTTTACTATGGGGAGAACAAAACACAGAGATACAGTGCACAGCAAGGTACTGTTAGTCAGTAATGGGGAAAGATCAGCTGCTGGGAGACCAGACAATGAAGGTGACCAGTCCTTTGCCCTCTGTCTGCATTTCGGCACAGCTTCTAGAGTTCAGTTCCTCTTTAAGACAGAAACAAACAAGAAACCTTAAAGGGGTTCTAAACCCTCCGGTTGTTTTTGTCTATATCTACTGCTAGCATGCAGTAGATATAGGCAAGAAGTGTAAAAAAAAAACGCTTAAAATCCTTTTAAACTTACCTCGTTATCGCCGCTCGTTCCCGCGCCGAGAATCAGGAACTGCTCGTACGGCCGCAAAGGATCTTGGGGCGGGCGCATGCGCAGTTCCGATTCTCGGCCGGGAGACGAGCAGAGACGCAAGGTAAGTCTATGGATGCGTGCACCCGCCTGCAGACACCGCTGGATCGGAGAGACAGAGCAGTCAGCGCTGGATCGGAGTGACGTCACACCGCTGGAGGGACAGATGAAAACATGGGGAAAGAAGAGGAAGATCGGAAAAAGAGACATCATTTAAGGTAAGTGCTAACATTTACATTGGGGGGAGGGAAAAAAATGTTTGCCTTTAATGTCACTTTAATATTTTAAGAGCTAGAATTGTATACAATAAATATGTATGACAAAAATGTCACTGTAGGTGTATAGAAAATACTGTATGTTGGCACATTGTCAATATTGATGAATAATAAGAAACAATATTACCTTCATGGTGTTTTGAAGTAAGAACAACATACTTCGCTCCTGATGCCTTTAATATGTTTGCCCACTGCTTTGGATCATAAAACTCTGCTGTGAACTGGGGCCCAAAGTCTTCATAATGGAAGCCAGGTGGATAATTTTTATCCATAAAATCAACATAAGACTGCAACTTTCTTCCCTGCCAATACCACCTAAAACAGATCAAAAGCAAAAAATACTTATTGTACTGAAAATTCAGACATGCTTGGTTAGATAACCGCATACAAAATAGAGATGCCATTTAACAGCCCCGACAGATGTGTGTTGCAGCACAATGCATGGCACTACAATGTGGTGCTCTGCTGAAAGTGGTTCATGCAATGGTGCAAATGGTCCATCATTAGGTGCATTGGGGTGTCCTTCAATTAAATGGCACTGCATCACATCAACGCAGTAAAGCGTAGAGCAATGTGTGCGTTTCCACAAAGACATGGTGCGAACAGGTCCTGAAGGAAGCATATATTGTCAACAAGGACCTTTCATTTTAGTCCATTTAAATCAATAGTATATTACAGCTTACCAGTCCTTAGATGTGCTGGCTGCATTCATTTAATTCTATCAGGCTAAGAACATTTTCAGCAAGTACAGAAAATACCTGTTGACCTTGACAGAATTACAGTGTCCTCATGTGCACTGAAATGATATCTAAAACAATGTCATCAGCTTATCTTCTGTGAACTACAAAACACCTCCGCCCTGTACTATAACGATGAGGAGACGGTGATTGTGGTGCAAATCAGGAAAGCAGCCCAAGTTGACAGTGCTGCTCCTCCACTGATTCAGTGCAGTGAGTGATTGTTATAAGTCTAGGACAGGAAGTGCGTTACAACATTCGGTGAGTTAGTGTTGCTAATGAACGATTATTGAAATCGACATTGGTCTGTGCTTAACGGGCTATCTGAGCTAGAATCGAAAGAGGGTTCTTGGCAGCAAAGAAAATTTCCGATTGAAAATCTAGAGGTGTATGGCCAGGTTTACTCTCTGTGCAGAAGCAGTGGTCTCTCTGCAGAGGTCTGACACTGCCACCTGCTGAGATGGGGCTATAGCAGTCAGTAAAGGATCCTTTATAGGGGTCAGGCATTTCTCCTCAGGCTGTGTCTGCTTTACAAAACCACAAAAACTGTAACTGGCTTGTTCCCATCAGTTTAGTTGAGCTGCTTCTATCTCACAGATCAACACAAGCTCGAAACCGGGGCACACTGAAAACAATTGTTTTCTATATGCCATGTCCACAGCACAATGTTGCCTTCATGTGGGCTGCACTGCGTACAAATGCAGACTGCAAGAATGCAGTATGTTGCATTTTTGCACAATGAACCACAGCTCACCTGAGGTGCCCATCTGAAACCACATAGATGTGAATGAAGTGTCCTTTTGTGACATTTTAATAAAGTTTAAAAAAAAACATACTTTGCATTATAACAACACCACCGCTACACTTTGGACCCCAGCCTACACAACCGTTTTAGTGTGCGGGGTGGTGTGTACAAGTCCTTAGGCTGGGTTCACACCTGGGTGTTTTTCAGCGCTGATCGAAGCACTGAAAAACGCTCAGCAAGTGAAATCCCATACTTTTCTGTGGGCATTGTTCCCACCTGGGCGTATTTCAGCCCGTGGAAACGCGCTGAAAAACGCCCTATGCCCAAACAAGTACAGGAGCTTCTTTGGAGCGTATTTCAATGCGTATCCATTGTTATTTCCGATTGTGGCTCGGGGTTAACAAATCGGTACCCCCGAGCCACACTCGGGAATACAGCGTAGGTCTTACCTTGTCCGCGATCCCCGCTGTGTCCTCCGGCCGCTGCCGTCTTCCGGGTTCCGTCCCTTGCAAGCGTCTGCGTCGCAGGGGGGCGGAACCGGCTTGAAATTTGAAAGTTAAAAAAAAGATAGAGAAAATAAAGGAATTTTTTTTTTAAAAATCATACCGCCAGGGAGGTATACAAACGCGTGTTTCACTGAACGAAAAAACGTGCTAAAAAAACGTGCAAAAAACAAGCAGAAAACTCCACCTGGGCCAATCTGTTGCACTTTTTCCATCTGACCACAGAAAATCTGCAGATAATTGTAAGGTGTATGGGCACCCAAGACTTTATACATCTTTTCTTGTGATGCACCTGCAATGTATTTAGCTGATTAAGGCCTGGTTCACACCTAGGCGTATTGCATATGCGCGGTTGTCGCGCATTTTTTTACCGCGATTCGCGGTAAAAAAAATGCGCGACAAACGCGCATTTCCGAGGGCTACTTGGCTGTATCCCAATGGAAACGCGCAACAAAAACGGCCCAAAGTACCTTTTCAGGCGTGGGCCGTTTTGTAGCGCGTTAGGGACGGGCTGAAATACGCCAAGGTGTGAACCAGACCCATTGAATACAATGGGATTTAGATGTTTGAGCGTTTACTTTTTTTTTCACTGTATTGAAGTGTCACAAAATGACATCATTTAACTCAGGATGTGCTGTGGTGTGTCACTGAACACTGCATGAAGCCATGTTGCTTTTAGGGCCTGTTCACATGAGTTTCAGGTCCGGATCAGGTGCGGATCTGCAGATGTGGTGCTATGTGTTTTTGCCGCGTTTGCCTACAGTATACCGTGTGAACAGGGCACATTGAAAACATTTTTTTTCTCTGTGTCCTTGTGTTGAGACAACGCCTCTGGTATGAACAAGCCCTTAAGTAAACTAAAGGGTTTATTTGTACTTTACGTTTAGCACGAATGTTCAGGAGAGGAAGGCCTCTATGCCACACCCCACATAGACTGAAAAATAACAAAGGACTGCAGCATATACCTGGAGAAGAAAAGGAGGAAAAGGGGTTTTTAAGGCATAGAGGCCTTCAATTCAAACAGTAATACTTTATTACCAACGTTAAAAAGGTAAAACACATAAATACTGAAATAGCCCCATCTAGTATATAGTCCACTATGTGATAGGTTCACAGCAATACAATCATCATTATGAGAACTGTATGATGATTGTATTGCTGTGTACCTACCGAATGGTGGACTATATACAGGCTAGATGGGCCTATTTCAGTTTTTTATATGTTTTACCTTTTTAACGTTGGTAATAAAGTATTACTGTTTGAATTGAAGGCCTCTCTTTATAAACTTAAAACCCCTTTTCGTCCCATTCTTCTCCAGCCATATGCTGCAGTCTTTTGTTATTGAACAAGCCCTTAAACTGAAAGTTCAGTTGAATGTTAAGGTATGTATACTGTTTATTATTTAAAAATAGCAATGGGGGCTTCAGAGAGGGGAGGGTGGTTTTGGCCTTAAAGCAGAACTCCAGGGAGATATATTATAAACCCCTGTAGTGGGGCTACCCCTTCACTGCAAGAGTTAACTGCTCGTTTTGGTAAAGACCTCACTCACACAGCTAAGAGCCAGCCCATACAGATCCATGCGGCGTGCATGGCCGTATCGGGGCGTTCCCGGGACGGACAGGTGCTGTATGGGAGTACGCGGCCGTACGCTGGTGTGTCCGTACTCGTAGGCAAACAGAATGGATCCTGTCTGCGTCCAAGCACGTACATCTGCACCTGCATGATGTGCGGTTCAAGTGAGTGTACGCAGGGGTGTATCTACTGCAAGGCAAACTAGGCATTTGCCTAGAGCGGCACTTTCCACGGGGGCGCCAAAAAATGCTGCCCCCAAACCAGTTAGGTAAGAGAAAAAAAAATATTATATTATAAAATGATTCATAAATTACTGCCAGTACTCCTGGACCTGGTGCTTCTTTGACTGGGGGACCAACGTGTCCACCTATGCCGCCTACTCCAACATATATGCCGGCTGCAGCTCTTTCCTGTTCCTGGTCAACATGCTGTGCAATGTATTGGTGTGTGTGACTTTCGTCCGGATGCACTGGCAGTTCGTGCGTCGGACCTCCCTGGGAAACTAGCACCAAAATCTCTGACTTTAGGCAGCGGAGGAGCTTCCGCTGGACCCCAGGGCTGAGATCCAGATGGTCATCCTGCTCATCGGCACCTCCGTGGTGGTGAGTCCGTGGAAGTGCAGCCTAAATGCTCCGTGCAGGGTTATGTCTCTAGAGCGGGCCAAGCTACAGGGCCCAGCGGCCGAGGCAGAAGATTGGTAACTGCAGAATTAGAGGGCCCAGCATATTAAAAGGAGAACTATGAGGTGAGTGAAAAGCACTCACCTCATAGTTCTCCTTTAAGGCAGAAGATCGGTGTTGCAGCTGCAGAACTAGAGACTAGCACAGCATGGCAGGAGAGAATGGTTATTGTAGCTGCAGAACCAGGGAGCCCGTCAAGCCAGGAATGGAGAAGGTGGCTATTGCAAAAGGTAGAACTTGAGCATCCCGCTATGTTGATAGCGCAACCTGTCAGAATCTAGATACACCGTGCGCGCTGTATCCTGCGACTGACAGGTTATGCAAAATGTCTTAAACAGAAAGGGGTGGGACTAATTTAGATTAGGCGGGGGGCGGGGCGGCGTGCTCGGGTTTAGTCTTGCCTAGGACAGCACAAAACCAAAATACACCATACGGCCGCGTACTCCCATAGAGAAGAGCAGGCTGCTGCGTACAATCACACACAGCACCTGACCTTCCTGCTGTACGGGCCGGCTCTTAGTTGTGTGAAGGAGGCCTTAAGGAGGAAAATACAAAAGTGATAGTCACCTGATCCTCTGAGCTGGCTTGCTTTTAAGGTGGTCATAGACTAGTAGATTTTCAGTCAGAAATGTTCAAATCTGGCCCCGTCCCTCGTTCCATTACAGCTTGCATACCCCATCAAGCATAGTCAAATGTTGATTTCAGCCAACCAAATTGACAGAACGACAGTAATAATTTTCTTTTGCGCATTTCCTGTGTTCTTGTAGAGATTTTTGACGAGCGAAAACCCCACTGATTCATCAATTTTCGTTCCATCATCCAAAAATGTTCAGCCTGACCGAACGAAAAATTTTGATCACAATATTAAAAACTAAAAATTGGTGATGTAACATGAACTGTTCGAAAAGACCGTTCGTGTACAATTTCCGAACCAAAATCGCACAGTATATACGCATTTAAGACCAGCCCTCTCCGCTGCAGTGGTCTAAGGGTCGTCAAGTCATCACATGCTATGCACTGTGTATAGGATCTGAGGACACTGAAGGACATACCATCGCTGCAGCAGGTGAGGGGATAGGCTGGAGGAAGCGCTGTGACAGCCAGCTAGCTCAGAGGATCAGGTGAGAATAACTTTGTTATTTTAGCACCTAGATGAAAATAAGCAGTTAACCCTTGCAGTGCAGGGGTAGCACCACTGCAAGGGTTTATAATATTTTTCCCCAGAGTTCTTTAAAAAAAAAATTCAGGCTGGAGCACTTTTAAATGATTTTCATTGTTTTTTTAACTTCTGGCACCCACACATTTCGAATTTGGCTTCAGCATAAAGCTGATCTGTGAATTTCCCAATCCTGCGCTTGTTGTATTCAGTGTGTATAGTGAGCAGCATGCCATCATTGTCACCCCCGTACCGCCACCCCCCTACCCAGCTGCTCACCAGAACCACTCGCTGCCAAAGCTGGGGACGGAGAACACCCCCCAATGGATGAAAATGCCAAACTTGACGTCATCGAACCAATCCGGGATGGATCTCGAGTCCAGGGACTCCCAGGTGGGCTCATACGTCACCCTAGCAGCCCCGAAGTGTGCGGCCAGCAGTAGTACGGCAGCCTGCAGAGAGAGCGCTCCGTCCATTGCTCACAGGTAGCTTCCGTGTTTTCTTCCTGGACGGTCACGTGACGTGAGGGAACGGGCCAGTGTCCGGGGTGTCACCGAGTGTGCTAGAGAACAATAGCGTGGCATGTTCACAGTCTATAGAAGCCAGCTGTCCCTTATTTCTTCCTGTTGTCACTAATTATGAAGATTTGCCCTAGAATTGTTTACATTTCTAGACTATTGTTTGTGGTCATAAACCAGAACAATTCTGACATTTCACCTATGTGCATATTGATTGGGTAAGCACTGTAGTAGGTTCAATTTAGGCTGAGATTACAAATCTGTGGTGTGGTAACACATGTGCATGACATCACACAATGCGTGTGGCGCTAAAATAGCCCATTCATTTCAATGGGCCGCTTTCTATATCACAGCGCACCACAATGCATGATCAATGGAGTGAACATTTATGTACTGTAAAGAAAAAAACAGTTATAATTAGGGGTCCAAAGAAGAACTCCAGGATTTTGTTTTATTAACCCTTGCTGTAATGCTACCCCCACACTGCAAGGGTTATGTGCTCATTTGTGCCTAGGTGCTAAAATACCACGATATACTCACCCAAAGTTCTGAGCTCGCCAGCTGTCACGCTGCTCCCTCCAGCCTGCCTCCTCCTCTGCAGCAGATTGGAATGTTCCTCAGTGTCCTCGTGTATACACTGTGTGATGATTTACTGGACCTTAGATTGCTGCAGAGGAGGGGGAGAGGCATTCCAGGGACCAGTCTAAGAAGAAGCCAGCTTGGAGCTTTGGTGCAAGGATTTTTTTCCTACACAGGCGAAGGGGCATTTTTACGCCCCTCTCCTGGCGCCCTCAGGCGGCTGCCTATGCATCCTTATGGCAGCGCTAGCATAGACATCACATAAAGCAGCACTCCAAATCTAATCGGAGATCTGTGATATCCATGTTACAGGTCAAACCAATTATCTCAGAAACATTTAGAAGAAAGGAAGACCATCAGCTACTAGTGCCCTATATGTGAAGCCACAAGCAATGACACTCCAAATAGTTTACTGTGGAGCACCCCAATACAAAGACACCCCAAAGTGCACCACTCTAGAAAGCATAACTAAGATGTCCAAGGTACAGCTCACACTGAACTTATGCAGCATTTGGGAAAAGAATGACCATCATCTACTGAAGCCCTGTATGTAACGCCACAGGCATTGACATCCCACGTCTATTACCATGGAGCACCTCAATACAAGGACAGCCCCCCATAGATCTTCACTAAAGAAAGCATAACTAACAGCAGATAACAAGTGACCTTAAACTGATGTTTAACTGCTTCAGGACCACCTAACCTAGATAAACTGCAGTCCTGAAGCAGTTTTACCAAGGTCACGGCTGCCGCAGCCGTGTAAGAACAAGTGGCGATGACTGTTTCATATACAAGCGATCCGGCGGCTATACAACCACCTGATCGCTTTAACGGTGCCACCAAGTGTGCCCATCCCCACTTCGCTGTCCCCTGTGCAGGCACAGCAGGTCTGTCTTCTTCGATTGCAGGGAGATCAGCACACTCTCAGCTGCTGATCTCTCCTCCAATCACTGGCCTATTGGGTGCTATTCACTTTCCATGCTTTTTTTGATGCAAATTCATCAACTGTAGAATCAGCCAATTACACTACAAACACGTTTTATGTACAATATGTTGCAAAAATCATGTGTCCTGATGAATTCTGCGACATTCATTGTGGCTGCTGATGGGTTGATGGTTGCACAAATTCTGTGTAATAATATGTTAGGAGGCCTTACACTGACCACAATGTAACGGAGGTATTCTCACTTTCTGCCAAGGTTACGGAGGTATTCTCACTGATCGGCAATGTATCAGAGGTATTCTCACTGACTGCCAATGTAACGGAGGTATTCTCATCTCTCTCACCGCCATAAGTTTTACAAAGCCCCAGACACACCCAATCACCAAAAAGTCGATACTTTTTTTTTTTACCTCCATTCTCATCTTGGCAAGAATGAGGTGTACCCCGCTCCAGCAGCCTCCTGGGATATCCACGTCAGAAATCTCAGCAGGCCAGTGACATGCGGTACCTCTTGCCCCGGGTGAGGCATTCCCCTGCCTCGCCCCCAGCACGTACCGCCCGCCTGCCCCCTTCCGGACAAAGCCACACCCTAACTCGTCCCCAAGTTAGTGTAAAGGCGGAAGGGAGGAGCCTCCCTGTCCCTCACTTGCTCCTCACTGCTGAGGCGCCCCGTCCATGACAGGTTACATAGCGGGGAGGATTACCATGCTGTGTAACCTGTTAGATGCCGATCTGAATGGAGAAAAAGCTGTCAGCTTCACACAAGCTGACAACTTTTTCCTCCATAAATCTAGGTGAGGCTCTGCCTCCCCTGACCGCATGTCCCTGCAGCAGGCAGCAGCTTACAGAGAGCTGCTGGAGGAGGTTGGACCCAGTAACACATCATTTGGTGGCTGGCTGCCTGAAAGAGGAAGAGACAACCAGCTAGCTGCTGATGACATCAAAAAAGGAAGATGGTGATGTGGGACTCGGCGAGTGGTGGGGGATTGATGGCTTACAGCAGGAGATTTGCTGGACAGATACGTTTGCTACTTGAGCCCAACCCAACAGACAAGGTAAGTTGGGGTTAAAAGCAAAACAAAGCTGATGAGGATGAAGTTCCTCTTTATGTTTATACATTTTAACCTGATGTTTTATATCTGTTTTTTATTATTTCAATACACTCTTTGATTTACAAATAAACATCTGGTACATGATAAAGGATTCCCAAAGCACTATGATTTAGCTAAAGAGGAAGCACAACAAAAGTATTGCAGTTTTAAACATAAAACTGAGAATTCTAATAAGGAATAAGTCACTGGGATAAGCGATGTAAATTTCACCTTGTGCTATTGGGTTCTGTAAACAGCAAGCTTTTTTAGTATACGTCGTAAATAGAAAAGTGAAGAAAAAAAAGAGCAGAGAGTGCTGGCTGGTTAGAATACTCTAATAATACTCAATTTATTTAAGAAAAAACATTTATTTTTATAATATTATTTTGTTAGTGTTGACTTTTATTCATAAGGAATTCATTATTCTAGCTTATAGATGCGCACTGGGTGTATAAATTATCATTAGAAAGCTATGTGTTGTTATGTGCTGAGGACCGCTATATAAAAGTCTTACCTTGCAGCATGCCGTCTCCGGCACAGAACACTGGGCTTCCTGGCACTGATGAGAGGGAGAGATGCGACTCAAGCAGTATATCGCTCCGGTCACATCACTCATCCCGTCCTTACTATTGTCCATTCACAAAATACATTCCGTGATTGGAGGAGGACAAACGGGTTCCCGGGAATAATCAGGGCAAGTTATATAAGCAGACCAAAAGTCCGAAATTTACTTTAGGGCCATGTTGTTGTCATAAATAATTTGCCTACGCACCCCTCCCCTTCCCTAAAATATTGACCTCTCTGTTGGAATCAGATTCCCCAGACTTTGGTAGCCACTTCTGCCTCTATTCTATGGCCTACAGTGGGTTCTGTGTTAGGGCATGTTCACACCGAAAGCGTGTGCGTTCCAGAGCGGTAGCTGCTGGAACGCACCGCGATCGCTAAGAAACTTCTCCCCACGGGAGGGGCGTGGTGGTGCATTGAATTGAATGGCACCGCTTCCACGCCAAGCCCCCGCCCCCAGTGCGATCGAACGCGTGGCGAAACTTTGCCAGCATTGCGTTCCACTGCAAACGCAAAAAATAGAGCAAGCCCTATTTTTTCCGTTTGCAGTGAAACGGAACACTGGCAAAGTTTCTTAGCGATCGCGGTGCGTTCCAGCAGCTACCGCTGGAACACACACGCTTTCGGTGTGAACAAGGCCTTACAAGGAAGTACTGATTGTCTTGGGCAGAGGCAATTCATTTCTGACTTAAGATCTGCTTTAAGGCTACACGCTTCCCGGATTATACTGCATCATCCTTCTCCTGTCAATTATTAGCCAAAAATCAGTTAAAGTAGTATGCAACTCTTAAACTTTTTTCAATAATGAATCCAGATCAAACAAATATAAATTGCTCAAAGTATTTCTTGAGTTTTTTTCCCAAGCACTTTCAGTCATGTTTCCAAACAGGTGGCTCCAACTGTCTCGGCTCGGCTTCCCTGAACTTCCTGCCCAGTACAAGATCATAAGGTATATTGCAGTCTCCAGCACCCATCCACCTACTCGGTTGGAAAAGGATGAAATGAGGAGTGGGGGGCAGGGAGCACAGGAGTGGTTTGCCTTGCCCTGCTGTATTTGTGGAGACACACATCGCCTACAAGCACACACAAGGGTGACTCCATAGGACCCTGCAAGGGAAAGAAGCCACCCTAAAACAGGATATCAGGACCAGTGCTCAAGGGACCAGCTGATTCTGCAGGAAACTAAAACTTTTCAACATCAAGAAGCAGCATCCATTGTAAGTGATTGTGAACAGCATTTGAAATAGCTTAAAAACTTCTGACTTTAATATTGCTTCAAGAGATGGGGAAAAAGTAACAAGAGACTAAGATAGCATTTAAAACTACCCTTCTCTGCATAAAAATATATGTGACCCACTTATGGATCCTGGATGAAGTAGACAGCTAAAAGTAAAAAAAAAAATAGGGCAGCAAATGCCTCCTCACATTAAATATGTATTTGCATAGAAAGCAATAGTATCATTATTATTACTATTAGAATTCAGAGGTGCAATGATGATGAAACAATGATGATAGTAAATCTGGAACAAACATCAAATTAGATAACAAAGGTGAATTCGGATTGGTTGCTTAACCCCTTCATGACTGAGCTAGTTTTTCTCTGCTATTTTGAGCTGTCAAATACGGGATCGCAAATTGCGGTCCTCTATTTGCATGTAACGGCTTCATTCTTTCATTAATGAAAGGAAGAAGCTTTTACAAAAAGCTTAATTATTTCATTAATTAATGCCTCAATACTGAGACATTAATGAATGACTGTTAAATGCTGAGAATCAGCAAATACC